CGAAACGTTTTTTCTGAGAGTGCTCCTGACATAGAACGAGATAGAAACAATTATTATAAGAGAGGAACATCTACTCATTTTTTTTTCCTAAAACGTATATTTTTTTTTTTTTTTTTTTTAATATTATTTTCGAGAATTAGAAAGAAAACGATAGAATAAATGAATAAAATGAGATCTTAAAGTATTTTTTTACTTTCTAATCACAAAATCTTCAAGTTTAATCATCATCGTCGAAGTTAAAAAATGTCAAATTATCGGATGAACATAATATTTTGTAATTTTTGATTCTTTTTTTTAATATATATAACTCGAAAATTATAAAAAAAAAAGAGAAAAGAAAAAGAAAAAAAAAAAAAGGAAGAAATAATCAAAGCTTGATGCTAAGATAATAAATTTCTCTAAATCTTTCTCGAGTTTCTAATCAGCAAATCTTCATGTTAATTATCATCATGTGAATCACAAGTACGTGATAGATAAACTCTAACGCGTTACGTATATTAGTACGAGTAATAAGCTTGCTCGCGTGCGTTCTGCCGTATTCCAGGCCAGTTTAAGTGATAATGGAATCTCATAAAGCGCGCAACGCCCTGACGCGACACATAATTTAGACTCGGAATTAACTCGTAACAAACTTCGGCCGGTGTTCCCGTTTAAATCGACAACATAAAGTAGATCGACGTAATACGCCATGAGAATAAAATTTTTAAATCATTTTAAACCGCACCAAAGACGATATATACGTAATATTAAAGAAAATTCATTAATTATGCTAAAATTATATATCCACAGATAGAAAATATTTAACACGGGGAATTATTGTTTTACGCAAATATTTTTAAATATGTTTGATTTTATTTTTATATTTTATTTAAATATATCATTTTTCCTTTTTTCTTTTTTTTTTTTTGTTTTTTTTTCTTCTTTTTTAACGTTATAAAGTACATAAAGTCAAATAACATACTTTAAAAACAAAAATATTATTAACTGTTATAAATACCTTATATATATATATATATATATATATATATATGTATGTATGTATAATAAAAATACGAGAGATTAATTTAACAAAGTAATTATTTTTAGCGATATAAAGTTCAATTTTGTTATTTCATTTGCATATCATTTTTTTTTCATTATAAAATAACATTCCTTAAAGGCAAAAATTATTGGCTATTTAAATAACTTTTATATATATATGTACAATAGCTATCGTATATTTTAATAAATTATATTTATAAATTATATATATATATATATATATATATATATATATATATATATATATACAGAAAACCATGAAAAAATATTTAAATTACAAATTATTTTACGCTTTATTAAAGTCCAATTAATTTTAATTATTTCATTATTATATTTGTATTTCATTCACTCTCGCCGTCTCTCCCTCTCTCTCTCTCTCTCTCTCTCTCCTCCTCTCAATTATTTTCTTATTTATCTTTGGTAAAAAAATTTCAACGTACTCGGTAAAGAAGAATGGTATAGAAAATTTTTCCTTTTTTTTTTTTCTTTCTTTCTTTCTTTTTTCTTTCTTCTTTACAAGATTATAAACAAAAACAAGACGAATAAATTTATATCTCTCGTCGAGTAAAGAAATATGTACGTAGATGTTTTTAATTAGTCAATCGTACTTCTTTTTTTTCTCTAGTCGTGTCATTTAAATACTCACTAATTCATCGTTTTTTTTTCTTTCCATTTTTTTCCCTTCTTTTTTTCTTTTTTTTTTCGAGAGGTACATTTACAAAAGAGAGTTCCGCGAAAGCTTAACAAAAAATTCTATTACCCAACAAAGAGAGAGATAGAGAGAGAGAGAGATAGAGAGAGAGATATAGAAAGAGATAGAGAGAGAGAGAGAGAGAGAGAGAGAGAGAGAGATCAAATTAAAGTGCGATACGCGATTATTTAAAAGGTAACGTACGTCGGAACGTCAAACCAATTACGAATCTTTGTTCGTAGTCACTTTTACAACGGATATGAGTTGTTGATAATTAATATGGAGACTATTATTAAATTCATATCGATAATTTATCCACCCACCCCTTCCCCCACCTCCAACCCCATCCTTTATCCTTTCGTTTATCCCTTGAGATAAAGAGAAAATTTATTCCGGTTATCTAATGATGAACACGATTTAACGTGAATTAAATTTAATATCAAATTGATTCGCAAAACGAATAAATTATATTTCTTATCGTAAATGATAATCTATATTTAATTATACATCAAATAGAATATGTATTATCGTAGAAGGGACGATAATTAATTGTCACGAAATATCTAAATATATACATACATAATGATCTATATATTCGTCTCTATGTATATATCTACGTACATATGTACGTACGTATCTATTTATGTATATATGTATCTATTTATATATATATACATACATATATATATATATGCATCTATTAATCTATATGTATAAATGTTTAGTGCTTTACGATAAGCCAAAAGTTTCTTCAAGTGGCATCGTTAAATTCGGTTTATAATCGTCCACGATTCGAATCGACTTTGAAACGAATGGACTGTTTTAATGACACTCGTAAACCGATTTACATTTCTAATATACATTGAATCTAGTTAAAGAACAACTACAATCAATATGCAAATACTAAGGAAATCGTTGCGGATAATGTCTTTCCACCTTAGTAATATTAGATATTAAATAGCACGTCGATTTTCTTTTCCGTTGCAGGGATTAATTTCCTATGGAGGGAATAAAAAAAATGAAAAAAAGAGAAAAAGAGAGAAAGAGAGAGAGAGAGAGAAAAGAAAAAAGAAAAAAAGAGAAAAATGAAATTTTATCTCTAATAAATAATACCATTTCTTTATTCAATTTCCAATTCATTTTTTGGTCTTTTACTCTTGTATTGCAACAAAAAAAAAAAAAAAAAAAAAAAGAAGAAACGAAATTACAGATCTAATAAATGGTAACATTATTTTATTCAGTACCAATTTATTTGCTGTTTTATTATCTGTATAAAAAAAAAAAGAAAAAAATAAATAAATAAACAAAGAAGAGAAAAAAAAGAAGAAAGAACGAAATTTCGTTTCTAAAAAAATAATACGATTTCCATTGTTCACTTTCAATTAATTTTTTTCTCCGTTTCCTATAAAAATTTTAAAAAATCATTAAAGAAAAATTGATTGTTATTTATCGGATAAATATTTTCAAACAATTACTCTTTTAATCGACATCGATATCTCAAACAAATCAATTGACAAATATTTACAATAAAATATTGTTAAGTAATATATATAAGTGGTTAATATTATAAAAACCAGTTGAGTATTTTCAATCAAAATATTTGTAAATCTGATAACTCGTATTTTTTCTTGATTTTTTTTTTTTTTTTTAATATAAAGAAGAATGATCAATAATAAATATTTATTTAAACAAAATCCAATATACCATACCGACATTTAATTATTTATAAAAATCGAAAATATTCAGTTATTTACATGTGTGTGTAACATCGTTTAATCAAGTATACAAATAATTATATAATAATTAATTAAGAAAAATGTCGATCAAACGAAATTGGAAATTGTTCTTTTTTTTTCTTCTTTAAACCGACGAAAAAAAAACCAAAAAAAAAAAGAAAAAGACAAAAAAAGGAAAAGAAAAAAATTAATCCTCATTTTTTAACACGTCCGCTTTTTGGATTTTACTAAAGTGAAATATTTTCGAATATCGTTTTCTTAAAATGATTATTTTCATTCGCAAAAGAGAGAGAGAGAGAGAAAGAGAGAGAGAGAGAGAGAGAGAGAGAGAGAGAGAGAGAAAGAGAAATATGGAAGAAATTTTCTGAATATTTTTTTTTTTATTTTCTTGTCCTTTCATCATTGATATTACATTCATTTCCACATCGTCGCGAGCAATTAAAGCACTAATTTCGATGTCTCCCTAGGCAATCAAGCCATTCTACATCCCTGAATTATTCTACCATCTCGATCGAAAACCCTTTTATTAAAGGATTGACTACCAATTTATTTTCGAAATTTTACGAACGAATTTTAATTCCGATAGAAAAATGATTATCGATGGTAAAAGGTGTGTGCGCCCGCGTGTGTGTGTGCGTGTGTATGGGGGCGGATGGTGTGAGCTAGAAAGGGATAAATTAGGATAAAGTTATACAGAAAATATTTATCGATTCCAAATTTAAATATAAATTTAACTTAGATGATTTTTTCTTATTTAAATTTTATTTTTTTTTATTTTTTTTATTTTTTTTTTTTTTTTTTATGAAAGTATAAAATCTTCGAAATTCGTTTGTTTTAAATCCGACAATTCTTTGTCTATTTATTTAACGATTTGTAACGGGTCTCGTTTTGTGAAAGAGGAGAATGGTTAAAAGAGAAGGAGGAATAAAAAATTTTTTTTCTGCAAGTACTTGACTGCGATATTAAAATTCTCCTTGTTAACTCAGGCTACGTTTACAAGATAAAATAATTTCTCGTTTAATACCATATTATGTGTTACGCGAATACGCATGTATCCATTAAATTCGTATAATAACATTTTTATAAAAGCTTCTTCAAGAATTTTAACCTTATGAAAAACGAAATCATTATTATTATTATTATTATTATTATTATTATTATTATTATTATTATTATTATTATTATTATTATTATTATTATTATTATTATTATTATATTATTAATATATTGATACAAATTTTAATAAATATTTAATGAAATTATTAATAATATCAGATTTTTTTTTTTAAACTAGTTATTGGTCAAATATGTCCGTATAAAAATAATGTTAAAAAATTATTATTATTAATGAAAGAAATTTTTACGAAAGATTTATATACATAAATACGTAATCGAGATTAATCGTAAGAATATCGCAAAATTTGATATCTTCACGTATCAATAACGATTTATTTCTGTATTTATTATTTTTTTTCTTTTTGTAAATTTAATTAGAACATCGATAAAGAAAAAGAAAGAAAGGAAATATTTACCTCTCTGAAAAAATTTCATATTTTCGAAGTATGAAGCCATCTTGTCTGATAAAACGATTACAACGAAACGAAAGAGTGACACCAATGTCTCGTAAATGATCAAACAGGAACAATGATTTTTTTTCTTTCCACCTCGTGAATTTATTCTCATCGATTCTTTTCTACGAAGAATGCAACGTCGATGAATTTCTTTAATCGTTAAAACGATCGTCTTAATTTGTGAACGTAATTGTTACGTACGACAAAGAAAAAACGTATAGATAATCCTCAAACACTTCGAAAGTTCTTCGAACACGAAACGATCTGATCGCCATCTTGGAAAATACGGTTAATTGGTTCGATGAGCTTGCACGTAGATCATTTGTTAACCGTGATTGGTCGATATCGAGTGGATTACTTCGCTCGACCAATCGCAGAACTTTCAAGGATTATATAACTGTGTGTTACAGTTTTAGAACCAAGTTTCGACAAGGTGAATAATAAAAAAAAAAAAAGGAAAAAAAAGAAAAAAAGAAAAAATACAAAATATTAAAATTAATAAAAATATGACGATAGGTAATAATACACTAACAAATTGTTCTTTAATATCTATTTGAAAAAATTAATGAAAAATTTTTTCAATGTTACATACACATATATGTATATATGTATGTATATATATATCGTAGTTTCTAACAAAATAATTTCATAAGATTAATGTACAATAAGACGAAGTAACTATGCAGTGACAGATTAGAGAAAATATAATACTTGCAAAATAAATTAAATTTTTCCGGGAACAAAGGAAGATAATAACGCAATTAAAAATGAATTTTTAAAGCAATGATTCTAAAAGACTATAATAAAAACTATCGAAAGTAATAATGCCAGTTCTATGAAGATGGCGCATGTGGTACTTCAACTTCACGAAGTTACGTTATTTGCATATAGCGTACAGTGTATATATGTGTTGTGTGAGCTCACGCGTGTGTAGTTATAATTATTTTTAATATATTGATAGTCTTAAAAAAATTTTCTAAGGACACATATGTATAGGGGAACGTATACATTTATTCACGTTCAATAACGATTAATACGTAATTGAAATAATAAAAAATTAAAAAATATATTTCATAAAAAAAATATCATTAAGAATGTTCAAATAATTTTTTTTTTATTTTTATTTTCCATATATTAATATCTCTAATAAAAGTTTTCTATCAACGTACTTACATATGCATGTTATTACGTATGCATGATCAGATCACGTGATTGAATTCGAATACGAGTTTAAGTCGATAAAACAAAAAAAAGAAGTAAGGTACATTTAGTCTGTATATTTTCACGTCGATTCTGGAAAACTCATTTTTTCGTTAATGGGCCGAAAATGTTACAATGGAATATCTATAATTACATAAAATGTCCATTATCGTTCGGTTATCTATAATCCATCGATGAAAATAGAATACGGTCTATTTTATTCTACGTTGTATCTCATTTTATTCGAAATTTATTAAAAGTGTTGTGTGTATATGTTATGTGTCGTGTGCGTGTACGTGGCTGCGTGTATATGTGAAATACGAGAAATGAATTAACGCGTATTAATTAGAAAATGTATTTCAACAACGGAATATGTCCGCGACAATTATTTCAAATCATTTTTTCAAATGTCTAATAATTAATTATGAAAGAGAATAGGACAATTAAATCATATTCAATGTACATTAGTTCTTTTCAAGTTCTTTTCTTTTCTTTTTTCTTTTTTTTTTTGTCAGTGCTTTTTAGGTTAACGCGTCACGTAAGTATATACGTACGTAATATTAATTATGCTTTTCTTTTCTTATTCCTTTTTTTCTTTTATTTTTTATATGATGCATTAAATATTTTTGTATTAATTTTCTACCAATAAGAATATCAATCTCAATATTTGTATTTTGATTCTTTTTACAAATTAAACTTTTTAGGTTATACGGGTTAATATTTTGAAAATATATGATATTTGTTACGATCTCCCTTTTCTTTCTTTTCTTTTTTTTTTTTTACATGGTACATATGTCTTTTTTTTTTTATTAATCTTACGAATAGAAATATTACATTTTGTTTATATTTGATTATTCAAAAAAAAAAAAGAAGAAAATAAACAAAAAAAATCGATTATCCGAGAACAAACTTTTTCAAATTTATGCAGGACTATATTTTTTGTTTGATTTCGCGTATAAAAATATTATTTTTATTTATATTTCATTATTATTACATTTCTTTCTTTTTTTCTCCTCCTTTTTTAAATATATTTTTTTTCACTTATACGGATTACTATCTTCAAGTACGTGATATTAATAATATTTCTTTTATATCATACATATGCTTTCTTAATTAACTTCGCGACTATAAATGTTACTTTTGATTTATATTATTTAAAAAGAAAGAAGTTTATTATTTAAATATAAATTTTTTTCGGAATATTTTATTAGGTATATTAAATATATACGTGATATTGATCATGGATTTTTTTTTTTTATTACATGCTACACACATTTTTTATTTTTATCCTATATATAAAAATATTACTTTTGATGTATGTTTGATTATTAATAAAGAAAAAAAGAAAAAAAAAAGAAAAAAGAAGGGAGAGAGAGAGACAGAGAGAGAGAGAGAAAGAGAGAGAGAGAGACAGAGAGAGAGAGAGAGAGAGAGAAAAGGAAGAAAAGTCGATTATCTGAAAATAAACTTTTTATGAGGATAAATAGGACAAGAATATATATATATACATACATATATACATATATACATATATACATATATACATATATACATATATACATATATACATATATACATATATACATATATACATATATAGATAGCCAAGTCTCGTTTATGACCACGATTTGGTACACGATTTCATAACGCTGGCACACACACACACACTTATACATACACATATACATATACACACATACATATATTACTACATCGATGCACGATGTTTCATTTGTCAACTTCGTCATAGCTCTATGTCCGTAGTTCTTCAACAGAATCGTATGAACTATGAACTTGCACACAGTGTTAACTCCAGTAGCTATCGTTCCACAGTAAAATGCTATTATTCGTTGTCGTACAATGCATGAACTTTGATAGTAAGATACGAGAAAGGTTAGCTATGGTAGTACGACGAGAGAACGACGTATTTCTATGGTGAATTCGATATGTGATATTGTAGAAGAAAAAACAAAAAAGAAAAAAAGAATAAAAACGAAACAGGAAAAAGAAAACAAAATGAATGAAAAAAGAAGAAAAAAATTAAGGAATAACAAAAACGAAAAAGGAAAAAGAAAACGAAATGAATGAATGAATGAAAAAGAAAGAAAAAGAAAAAAAATGAATGAAAAATGTTACGAACTTTTTCAGAAAGTGACGATTTAAGTTGGTTGAAAAGAAAAATTCAAGATAATTTTACTTGTCTTCACAAGTTACTGGAGGATATAACAAATTTGTGATCGTATATGGTATTCTTGTAACTTTGCTGCTGACTTTGAAATGTGACAAATAGGATGAATGGTTTGGTTTGAGCCTTTGAAAAGTTCCTAAGGTTAGTTAATTTAAGAAATTAATCGTTCTTTTTTGTAACTTTTTACTCAGGGCTAATTTTTTTCTTTTCCTTTATTTATATCTTTTTTTTTTCTTTCTTTCTTTCTTTCTTTCCTTTTTTTTTTTTATTTTTTCCTTTAATTACTAGTCACAACTGATAAAACTACGAGGGTAAGACTTGCGAGTCTAAAAAAAAAAAAGTTTCGCGAAAGAGAAAGAAAAAGGAATAATTGATTTTTAAAATCATCTGAAAACTTTTGGCACGTACTATCATTTTCGACGATATTTAAGATAAACTAACGTAATTTATGTCTCTTTTATATGGTGAAAAGAGAGGAAAAAATAAAAAAAAAAATATACGTTATTTTATTACATTCAAAAGCATTGTGAAAAGTAATTAATTATGTATAATGTATAAATAATAATAATAAATAAATAAATAAATAAATAAATAAAAAAAGAAAAGAAAATATAGAATCAATATGCAATCAAAAACAATATTTTTCTTATCGAGAAAACTTGGTTTGTATGTGGATAATTTGAAAAGAAGATAAAAAAAAGAAAGCAGAAGAAAAAAAAATTAATTATAAATATTTCCAAGCGCGTAATATAATAAAAATGTCGAACGTAATTAGGTCTTTTGTAGAAGGTCAAAAAGAAAAAGTAGATAAAATAAATAAATGAATAATCTATATATTATATTATTAATGTATAATTAATAATAAGAAATGACATAGTAATCAAGGAAACAATCTGTTTAATCAAGTATCGTTGAAAAGATATCGTAGATCAAATTAGAATCTTTTCAAATCTTCAAATTATCCCGAGGACGAATAATCTCGAATTGATCGTTTATCTTCTTTTCATCATCAAAAAAAAAAGAAAAAGAAAAAGAAATAGAAGTAGAAAAAGAAAAAGAAGATCTCGAAGAATCTCAAATTTCATTTTCTTCGAATTAATATAAAGATGTTAACAAATTATGAAATATCTCTCAGAGATATCTAAAAATATATATAAATATCTACTTACTTATTGTTTAGTACCATTAGCGTTAGAAAGATTTATGGGTCACTTTATACAATACATTTCTACACCAATCAATCCAAGATTAGACATTAACACATACACGCTTACATAGGTATGTGTGTGTGCGTGTATATTTATATATATATATATATATATATATATATATATATATATATATATATATATAACGTATAAAGTTTCTCGTTCTTTTCGACTTTACTGATGTACGTCCATACATACACCTACATATGTATGTTCAAATCTATATATATATATATATATATATATATATATATATATATATATATATGTAGACGTTTTCAACGCGAAAACCGCGACACGACTGTAATATCTGTTTCTGAAAGTTTCACGTATATATGTACCATGAACCCGCGCGCGATAAGATATGACCAGTTTTGAATAACGCGACGGCGATAGTATTGCATATGCTGCTTTTTATTACTTCAAAACGTTCTCTTACTACTCCTACCCCCATCCCATCCTCTCTACCCTTCACTCACCCATCTAACCTATATATTCTCAAAGTTTACGCGAATACGCGAATGGTTATTTTTGAATTTCTTCATTAACTCTATTTCTATCTTTAAAAATTTTATAATGGGAAAATGAATAATAGAAAAATTATATGAATAAAATATTATAATTTTCCTATTAAAATTTCTCTTTAAAAATTATATAACCAGGGAAATTAGTAATAGGAAAATTATAAAATATTATAATTATAATAATAGCGTGATATAAAAGTGTAACAATATTAAGAAATTGAATTTAACAATTTCTTTTTTATTTTCTTTCATTTTATTTCTTAATTTTGTTGGTATTTTAAAAATTACATAATAAGAAAGCTAGAATAGTATATATATATATATATATATATATATATATATATATATATATATATAT